GAGTGCGCCTGTATGTGTGAACAATATGACGGAGTAAAACTGAATGCGAGTGGTAAGATCTACCCCTTGAGGCCAGTTTGTCGGCTTATAGATCTACACAAACATGTGAGTGGGTGTTGATGCATTGTTTTAGATACACATATCAATAATCATTAGAAACGACATACATGTGGATATTTTTGCCGAACAGTCTCGCCGAACAGTCACGCCCAGTCTCACGACTGCGAACCCTACAACCTTCAACCACCCACTCTGTTGTAGGGACATACGTACTTATTTGCGATACACATGTACTCAATATTATTTATGACTACTCAGTAATTAGTTCGAACCTAGCAGTTCACGTACACGGCTTATCTGCAGATCCATTACGTTGATGTGTGGAGGTTATTCTAGTACCCATCTATTCATCAGGACTGTTGTACTGAACTGGCGACGGCCAAAATAACGTATACACCCATATGTTGAAATGTAAACGAACAAGAAATGGAGAGAGGAGAGAGAGAGAGAGAGAGAGAGAGAGAGAGAGAGAGAGAGAGAGAGAGAGAGAGAGAGAGAGAGAGAGAGAGAGAGAGAGAGAGAGAGAGAGAGAGAGAGAGAGAGAGAGAGAAAGAAGGGGAGACAGACAGGGAGAGAGAGAGAGGGAGGGAGGGAGACTGAGAGATGAGAAAGAGAGGGCGGGAAAGAGCAGAGAGAAAGACAGAGAGGGGGAGGAGGGGAGAGGAGAGTAAGATAGTAAGAGAAGGGGAGAGAGAAAGAGAGAGGTAGGTAGGTAGGTAGGTAGGGAACGAGAGAGATAGAAAGAGAGGGGGGAGAGAATATGAGAGAGAGGGGAGAAGGAGATAGGGGAGGAATAGAGAGGGGGGGGGGACGAACGAATGCATTTAACAAAATGTGAGTGAGAGTCGGTGTACATAGTCGAGTGTGAACCAGACAATCCAAAGATCGACACCAGGAAAAGAGAATCTTTTTAATAACATGACATCTACATTAAACAGTGTGCAATGGCATCACGTGCGGAAGCGGCAAATTTCTATAGTGAGTCGTTGCAGTTCTTGCAGGACTCACGAACAAAACAGAAGTTCAGTCGAGCACCGTTGTGTCGAACTCTGATAACTCGATATCTCGCTTGTCTCGATATAACATCTCGGTCCCAGCAAAATCCTGTAGTATATTGACTCTCATGTTGTAGTGTAGTGATGCAAGCACCGTTTTTTTCAGAGCATCACTTTTCAACAAATCATTATATCACAAGATCATCTAAACATTCATCGCCAACTTGTGACCTTGAACTTTGTGTTGCAAATGAGAGTAAGCGTCCCTTGGGTAATGTGAGTTGTGGCTCGTAATGTCGCCCTCCTGTCCACAGATGTAACCTTGTGTCATGAACTTTTTGTAGTTTTGTACGAAACAGAACAGATGGTGTCGCCAACGGTTATCGCAAACAGTTTCATAACAAATACATCTGCTGACCTTCATGAAATCACATAGCCAGCCCGCCATGATAACTCGAAACGTTGACCGTCTCGCCTAGTTCCCTCACGCTCACCAACACTGAGTCAGAGTGAGTGAGTGAATGTGGTTTTACGCCCCTTTAGGCAATATTTCAGTAATATCGCGGCGGGGGACACCAGAAATGGGCAGTCGAGTTCAAAGTGGCCATAAAATTTATAAGTATAGAACTTCGTTATATGCGTATACATGTTATCATGAACACGATTTTCTTATCACTTTTCTTCCTCTCTTAAACCGATCTCAGAGAAATAAATGTATTTTTATCGTGAGGGAGTTTAGCTTTACGCCGCTTTTAGCACAATTTCTGCAATATCAAGGCGCGCTTCACAGATTATACCCATGTGGGGAATCGAACCCGGGTCTTCGGTGTGACGAGCCAACGCTTTAACCACTAGGCTACCCCACCGGCCCATTTGTTTTCAAAGTTGCATCCAGAACTGTTCTGTCGAATCACTGGCTGTGAATGTTATATTCATATATTATTCTTACGCCATCGATGTCTGATTTTCATTTTGAATTTCGATAATGTGAAAATTCAAGTGAGTAATTATATACAATACTAGCCTAGTACCGTTGTCGTTTTTAATACAGCTCGCATATTTCAAAACGCTTTAGTCAAATGATTTTTCAAATACCCCCATTTTATAAAACGGAAACTCGTTTCGTGTTCTATATTACGAATAAATAGTAGCACTGGTTCATATACAACGATAGAAGCAGAGATTCTCCAAAAACGGTGTGTTAATAAACATCGTCATGTAGTGGTTTCAGAAAATGTATTAACGTTATCAGTTTCGGATTCAGGAGTTGTGAGAGTTCGACACAACGGTGCTCGACTGTATTTAATACGAGCATGAACAGACATAAATGTGTTTCGCGAGGAAACAAATGCCGGTACGTTTTTGAAAAATTTGCATATTTGGAAGTATGTGATGATTAACAGTGAGAAGTTCTAATCCCAACTAAACTGGCTCTGTCTAGTGATGATGTGAATGTATACAAAGATAATTACTTCGTTTGTTCAACGCCGCACTCAAAATTCCTACAGCCATATGGTATCGGTCTGTAAAATAATCGAGTCTGGACCAGACAAGTGGTCAACAGCATGAGCATCGATAGACGTATTTGGGATGCGATGACGTGTCAACCAAGTCAGGGAAACCACCTGATCCCGTTAGTTGCCTCTGACGACAACCATGGGTATCTGGAGACCAACCCTACTCAGATCATCATCGTTCATTTGCATCCATAAAACATCATAATCTTACTTTTTAAAGATTGTAACGAAGAGGTAACCACTGTCTAAGTGTTCTGGTGACGAAGAATGTGGATGAAGCTTTTGGTGACTGGTTTAGTGTGACCAACCCAAGGGCACTGGCCGCATCTTTGATCAAATTCGTACTGATGTGTTTCATGAAAATGTCAAAGTATGGAAACCTGGTAGGGACATTGTTGCATGTCGCGTTGTGGCAAATATACTCTTCTGGAATAAAGTAACTGTGGATTATTTCATGTTATGCCATTTTTTAATGCAAAAAGACAATAACATGATTTGTGGTGTTTTCGTTAATCCCTGTTTAACTGGTGACAGGATAATATCGAAATCTGTATGATTTGACACAAGGCATCGTGACACGCCCGTTAAGAGATGTGGTGTCAAACCTCAGTTCACAAATTCAGTATCGTGTGTGTCAACATTGGCGTTGATGCAGGCTTGCCCATGACGACGCATAGGCGACACTAAGCGATTGAAGAAAGCTTGGGGAATGTTGTTCCATGTCTGAACCAACGCTTGTCCCAATGTCAATGGCCGAATCTGGACTTGACGTAAACGTCTCTCCATTTCATCCCAAGCGTGTTCGATAAGGGACAGGCTAGCTATTCTCGAAACGTTTGTAGCCCGAACTTCTTAAGCCCATTCTTAACATATTGGCTACGATCAAAGTTAAGAATTCTTAGGGCTACGAACGTTTCGAGAATAAGGGACATGTCCGGGGAAACAGCTGGCCAAGGGAGTACCGGTATCTGTCAAAACTTCAGCGACACGTGGACGGGCATTATCTTGCTGAATCGTGAAGTTACGTCTCTGTCCTTGAATGAACGGCTGCATATAAGGCCCAATGATCTCATCCCTGTATCGCAGACCTGTCAGGTTGCCGTTGACAATGACAAGTTGTGTCCCACCATGATATGTGATGTCCTCCTCCACGCTGAACAACGTCAGCATACCGTTCACGCGTCATCATACCGTTCACCTCGCCGTCCGCACACCCTTGCCCTGCCATCTGAGCTGTCCAGATGAAATCTCGACTCGTCAGTGAACAAAATATCATCCCAATCTTATCTCCTGTACCGTAGATGCTGTCTGCACCAGGCAAGGTGCGCCTGTCGGTGGCGGGATGTTGTGCTCCCTCAGTCGGTTACGTACGTAGAGTCCTGGAACTGATTGGACGTACGCTAGGAATAGTTCGAGCAGTAAAGCTGTCAGTCTGGAATCGATTCCTTAGATGGGTCAGCCGAATGTGGTTGTCTTGCTGACGTGACGTCAGGTGTCAACATGCTTTTTCCAGATAAAGATATTTAGTGGTTTCCAAGGTCAAGTATTACTATATGAGCGTGAGTTACCTCCCCTAAATTGGCTAGAGTTGCTTCACGCCTATATTTAGGATAAGGCACATGCATGTGGTGCCCTTTTGGCAAGACCATGAGAAGCCACAAAATCATAACAGGACACATGCTATCAGATGAAGATGTTTTGAGAGAAATCTCCGCCCAGAGCAAAGATGGCATCCATGTTCCCAAATATGAAGAAACTTCTCAAGGATTTGATTCTGACATTTTTTGACATTTAAGTGTTAGGAATGTTACTTTTCACTCTTAAATTACTTCGAGTGGGTTCTCATCTACTGGCTAAAATGATCAGTTCATTAAATTTGTTGTTCCACTCGTAGTGGATGTGGTGATGGTTGTTGTAATTGTGGTAGTGGATGTGGTTGTTGCTGTTGTAATTGTGGTAGTGGATGTGGTGGTTGTAATTGTGGTAGTGGATGTGGTTGCTGTTGTAATTGTGGTAGTGGATGTGGTGGTTGTTGTAATTGTGGTAGTGGATGTGGTGGTTGCTGTTGTAATTGTGGTAGTGGATGTGGTGGTTGCTGTTGTAATTGTGGTAGTGGCTGTGATGGTTGCTGTTGTAATTGTGGTAGTGGATGTGGTGATTGATGTTGTAATTGTGGTAGTGGATGTGGTGGTTGCTGTAATTTTTGTAGTGGATGTGGTTGTTGTAAATGTGGTAGTGGATGTGGTGGTTGTTGTAATTGTGGTAGTGGATGTGTTGTTGTAATTGTGGTAGTGGATGTGGTGGTTGCTGTAATTGTTGTAGTGGATGTGGTGGTTGCTGTAATTGTTGTAGTGGATGTGGTGGTTATTGTAATTGTTGTAGTGGATGTGGTGGTTGCTGTAATTGTTGTAGTGGATGTGGTGGTTGCTCTTATTGTTGTAGTGGATGTGGTTGTAATTGTTGTAGTGGATGTGGTGGTTGCTCTTATTGTTGTAGTGGATGTGGTTGTTGTAATTGTTGTAGTGGATGTGGTGGCTGCTGTAATTGTTGTAGTGGATGTGGTGGTTGTAATTGTGGTAGTGGATGTGGTGGTTGCTGTAATTGTTGTAGTGGATGTGGTTGCTGTAATTGTGGTAGTGGATGTGGTGGCTGCTGTAATTGTGGTAGTGGATGTGGTGGTTGCTGTAATTGCTGTAGTGGATGTGGTGGTTGTAATTGTTGTAGTGGATATGGTTTCTGCTGTAATTGTGGTAGTGGATGTGGGGGTTGCTGTTGAACTTTAGCAGTTTATAGGGCGTCTTCTGCCCCCCTTTCTCGAACCCCGATTAACAGGCTATAACTGTATTACTGTGCTATTATTAGAAGTTATGTACCGGATTACTACATGTATATAAAGCGGCGGGGTCAAATTAAGTCGGGAAATGAACTCCTACCTATGACATAAAAACGTGGTCTTGATTCTGACAAAGAGATTAGCTACGGCTTACGCCCATATGAAGTATAGCGTGAAGTACACCCTACTTAGGGGTACCTTTAAAAGTCTTGTCAATATTTTTTCAGTGCAATGAGCAAGTACGCAACGTTGAACCCTAATACACCACCACATGACCCCTAATACACCACCACATGGATCAGTGGCTGTTACGGATGTCAGCGCTGATACATACCAATGGGAGTGACAGTGGTAGCGGAAGTCAGAGCGATAGTCGTTGTGGTAGTAGCTATGGTTGTGGAAGCAGTGTGCGAAATAGCCACTTGATCGCTAGGCCGTGGCTAGTAAAAATCCAGGCGGTCCAGTAAATCTCCACAGTCACTGGCCCGACTGGCTGGTCATTTTTCGTTGGGTCAATTTGTACATATACTGAGGGAAAAAATAAGGGTTCACATGAAAGCACAAGTGTTCCTTTATTTTTTTCCAAGTTTTCTTCACAAGCTTTGCATCGCACAGCTTGTGAAGAAACCTGGAAAAAAATAAAGGAACAATTGTGCTTTCATGTGATCCCTTATTTTTTTCCCTCAGTATATATCACTCTCTCCGACTTGTTAAGTTATAACACACTTTTAAATTCATGCAAAATTATGGCCTGATAAAAATGTTTAGCATAATAGCAGCTTAATGATGAAACCCGTGTCTACATTCAAATGTCGACCAGTAAATTATTTTGTCGGCTAGTAACTTGCAGGCATAGCTAGCGCGACTGGCTAGCAAAATGTGGAAGCTATTTCGCACACTGTGTGGAAGTCATGTGGGTAGCAGCTGTGGTAATGATAGTGGTTGTGGTAGTGCTAGTGATAGCGGTAGTCGTTGTTGGTAGAGGTTGTGTTTGTAGAAGTGATAGCGCTAGTGATGGTGGTAGTGCTAGTGATAATAGTTGTGGTAGTGGTAGTGTTTTCGGTAGTGGTGTTGGTAGCGATATTGATGACATTTACGGTACTGGCTATGATAGTGATAGAGGTAGCTGTTGTGATTGTGGTAGCGATAGCGATAGTGCTGGTGAAGGGATAGTGAGTCGTGGTGGTAATGGTGGCGGTTATGGTTGTGGTAGTGCTAGTGAAAGCGGTAGTCGTTGTGGTAGTGCTGGTTATAGTAGTGAAAGCAGTAACTCTCGTTGTAGTGGTCATTGCCGTGCTCGTTGCCGTGGTAGAAGTTATTGTTGTAATGGTAGTGGTAGTGATAGCGGTAGCCGCTGTAATTGTGGTAGTGATAGCGGTAGCCACTGTAATTGTGTTAGCGATAGCGGTAGCCGCTGTAATTGTGTTAGCGATAGCGGTAGCCGCTGTAATTTTGGTAGTGATAGCGGTAGCCGCTGTAATTGTGGTAGTGGTAGCGGTAGCCGCTGTAATTGTGGTAGCGATAGCGGTAGCCGCTGTAATTGTGGTAGTGATAGCGGTAGCCGCTGTAATTGTGGTAGCGATAGCGGTAGCCTCTGTAATTGTGGTAGCGATAGCGGTAGCCGCTGTAATTGTGGTAGTGATAGCGGTAGCCTCTGTAATTGTGGTAGCGATAGTGGTAACCGCTGTAATTGTGGTAGTGGCAGTGGTAGCCGCTGTAATTGTGGTAGTGGCTGTGGTGGTAGCCGCTGTAATTGTGGTAGTGGTAGTGGATGTGGTGGTTGTTGTGTGGTAGTTGTGTTGTAAGTGGAGTGGATGTGGTGGTTGCTGTGTGTAATTGTGTAAATTGCAGCAGTGGATGTGGATGTAGTAGTGGATGTGGTGGTTGCTGTTGTAATTGTGGTAGTGGATGTTGTTGCTGTTGTAATTGTAGCAGTGGATGTGGTGGTTCTTGTAATTGTTGAAGTGGATGCTCTTGTAATTGTGGTAGTGGATGTGGTGGTTGTTGTAATTGTTGTAGTGGATGTGGTGGTTGTTGTAATTGTAGTAGTGGATGTGGTGGTTGCTGTTGTAATTGTGGTAGTGGATGTTGTTGCTGTTGTAATTGTAGCAGTGGATGTGGTGGTTTCTGTTGTAATTGTAATTGTCGCAGTGGATGTTGTTTCTGTTGTACTTGTGTTAGTGGATGTTGATGCTGTTGTAATTGTGGTAGTGGATGTTGTTGCTGTTGCAATTGTGGCAGTAGATGTTGTTGCTGTTGTAATTGTCGCAGTGGATGTGTAATTGTAGTGCAGTGGTGGTGGTTGCTGTTGTTGTAATTGTAGCTGTGGATGTGGCTGCTGTTGTAATTGTGGTAGTGGATGTTGTTGCTGTTGTAATTGTGGTAGTGGATGTGGTGGTGGTTGTTGTAATTGTAGTAGTGAATGTTGCTGCAGTTGTAATTGTAGCAGTGGATGTGGTGGTTGCTGTTGTAATTGTAGCAGTGGATGTGGTGGCTGCTGTTGTAATTGTAGTAGTGGATGTAGTTGCTGTAATTGTAGTAGTGGATGTGGTTGTTGCTGTAATTGTGGTAGTGGATGTGGTTGTTGCTGTAATTGTAGTAGTGGATGTGGTTGTTGCTGTAATTGTAGTAGTGGATGTGGTTGTTGCTGTAATTGTAGTAGTGGATGTGGTTGTTGCTGTTGTAATTGTAGTAGTGGATGTGGTTGTTGCTGTAATTGTGGTAGTGGATGTGGTTGTTGCTGTAATTGTGGTAGTGGATGTGGTGGTTGTTGTTGTAATTGTAGTAGTGAATGTTGTTGCTGCTGTTGTAATTGTAGCAGTGGATGTGGTTGTTGCTGTTGTAATTGTAGCAGTGGATGTGGTGGTTGCTGTTGTAATTGTAGCAGAAGATGCGGTTGTTGCTGTAATTGTGGTAGTGGATGTGGTGATTGCTGTTGTAATTGTAGTAGTGGATGCTGTGGTTGCTGTCGCAGTTGTTGTAGTAGAGGTAGAGACAGTGGTGGTTGGTAGTTGTTAGTATTTCTGCTGGTTATAGGTAAACAGAGTACACTTTTCTCCACTGCCATCGTGTGAAAAAACCATTTTGCTATATAGGTGCACGGTCATTAAGTTTGTCGTCATAGCCAGCTTACAAAAGGTAGTTCAAACGGATAGACTCTGTTTCTTGTCGGGCACATCTATACATAACCAAGAGGGCGTGACATACTAGGCAGATAAACGGAAACCATTAAATATGAAGCCACTTATATTTGTTCCTTAAGGTATTAAATAAAACGTTTTATGGTGACGGCAGATTAGGCCTTGGAGCCAGCTATTTCATCTTTCATAGCTCCATATGTCGTCATTCATTTGGGTTTTTCTCGGAGACATACACATGACAAGCATTATGTGCATCGAAATGGTATTCAAATTTAATGAAAGGGTGTATTTAGTGAGTGAGGGAGTGTTGTTTTCCGCCTCCGTAACCACAAATGAAAAGTATCAAACAGGACTGAAAATGATCGAGTTTCGAGCGATATCAGATATAGGGCACCAGGTTACAAGTTGACGAAGAGTCCCTGTCAGTAATAACACTGTTAGACCCCGATGTATACTTGGCGTCATTAATGAAGGGTCAAGCTATTGGTAACACTATTTTTTAAAAATTTTCGTTTCTCTTTGAAAGACAACTGAATGTTTTGCAAACTTTCTTAATTAGGCCGTTAAAAGTATTACGTTCTTTAACGTCCGATACAGTCTACCTCGTTTTTATTCACATTTGCAACATGGAAATCCACCTGCCACTTACAGTCCGTTTGAGTCAGAAACGGACCGATGAAATGCAAATTTGATCATTGTACAAAATTGCCACATAACTATAAATAGTACACATGTTTATCATTTACTAATACCCAACAGCTTTCTTATATTTGAAAATTTTCTGGACTCCACCAAAAAGTTCTTTAAGAAACTATCATTACAATTTTGACACAGTTCACTATTTGTTACGTGGGAGGAGTGCAGAGAAAGGGACTGTAATGTCAATGATTTGCACGTGCAAGTCGCTCTATCCATGGAAAGTGGAGGACAATACACATGCATTAGGCTATAGGCCTTTTGGAATCTGGTCAAACTCAGGTCAGGTTGCTGTACGCTTTAATGTGAGTCAGAGTGTTATTGGTAGGCTGTGGCAGAGATTTGAAGCCAATGGGTCCGTGGAATATGCACGTCGACCAGGTCACAACAGACCGAGATGATAGGCACATTAACACCGCGTTACTTAACAGATTCCTTAACGCAGCAGATATTCAGACAGAACACTTCATTGTCAACAATGTAAGGACATCCAGGAAGCACCGTTCGTCGACGTTTAAGGGCAGCCTGACTCCGCTGAAGGCGACCTGCAGTTCGTCCACCAGGCGCGTTTGAGATGGAGTAGACATCATGGCCGCTGGAATCAACGTCAATGGTCTCGTGTGCTCTTCACAGATGACAGCAGATTCAATTTGTGCTTCCGTGATCGTCGGCAGATGATTTATCTTGACAATCGGGAGCACATCACAGATGCAACTGTGGCCACGCATAACCGATTTTGCGCGAGGGGGGTTGGGGTGGGTGTCGGTTTGGGCAGGGATAGCTTCATAGGTTACATTTAAGTGCGCTTCATGTGGTGGAAGAGGTTTAAAGTCGAGTTACATTTCATTTGTGGAATGACGTGCATTGGAATATGTTAAGTGCTTATTGTGTGTATTTTGGTTCCCTCTGGTATTTTTGTGTGTCTGTATATGTGTGAGCGTGTTTGTGCATGTGTGTGAGCGCATGTGCGTGCGAGCGCTTATCATGGCCACAGCCCTCGATCGACTTACGAATATGAAGTCACGTTTTCACACCACCTGCTTGCATCCGTTAGAAATCAGTTGGCGTCTTTTAGTCATGTTTTATGCATTAAATTCAAAAACGTCTTCTGTACATACTTGATAAAGATGAAAGGTGCTGGGCACTATAATGAAAACGGCTTCAATAGCTGCTGCGTCCAAAGGAAATCAGTTAATATAGACCTTACTGAAGCCAATGTCTTCACACAGTACATTCATACCAATACAAAACGTCAGCATCAATGCAAATGCCTGAAAATCCTCAAGTTTTATTGTCTTCCGAAACAGATTGTATGGGGTGTAACAGGTAAAACTGTGATGATAAAAGTAGGAAAGGGTCACAGAAATAGGTGACGACACCAGACAAGGTTGGGCATGGTCTACTATTTAGGTAGCCCACAATAGTTACAGAAAATAAGTTCATTGGGTGGGAACAAGTGCGCAATGTGTATGTATGTATGTATGTATGTATGTATGTATGTATGTATGTATGTATGTATGTATGTATGTATGTATGTATGTATGTATGTATGTATGTATGTATGTATGTATGTATGTATGTATGTATGTATGTATGTATGTATGTATGTATGTATGTATGGATGGATGGATGATGGATGGACGGACGGACGGACGGACGGACGGATGGATGGACGGATGGACGTATGTATGTATGTATGTATGTAGGATGTATGTATGTATGTATGTATGTATGTATGTATGTGTGTGTGTGTGTGTATGGATAGATGGATGGATGGATGTATGATGGACGGACGGACGGATGGATGTATATATGTATGGATGGATGTAGGATGTATGTTTGTATGTATGTATATATGTATGCATGTAGGATGGATGGATGGATGGATGGATGGATGGATGGATGGATGTGTGTGTGTGTGTCTGTGGATGGATGGATGTGTGTGTGTCTGTGTCTGTAGGATGGATGGATGGATGGATGGATGGATGGATGGATGGATGGATGGATGGATGGATGGATGGATGGATGGATGGATGGATGGATGGATGGATGGATGGATGCATGCATGCATGTATGGTTCCTCACATTTGGTACTTCCCAATCTCTTGATTGACTTTGGGAGAGTACCTGGGACCTTTGCTGCAGGAACAGGGCCCTTCTGACCCTCCGAAAAGTTCTTGGTGAGTTCATTACCTGTCTGTGTGGGTCTGTGCAAGGGTCCTGAATAGTCTCACCGCCCCTGAACCACTGATAAGCTCTCCCGGCAATGCTAAAGCCCTAAATGAGGCAAGTCTAGATTTCCTAAGGTTCAGGATGAATTTCCCATCTCACTGTGGCTCCTTTTCAATTTAAATGTTACTATCAAATTATATATATCCAGAGACTATGCATGCTTTGGCTAGGCTCCTGAGGTGAGTTAACCGTGCCAGGATGACCCTCCCCACTCTGCTGCAATAAGCCTCTGTAATGATAACCGTCATTTACCGTCATCGCCATTCACATGGCTATGACCCCGAGGTCTACACATGGCTATGACCCCGAGGTCTACACATGGCTTGTTTGGAGACACGCAACTGAGCAAGAACCTCAGCTGTGTCAAAATCTCAAACCCAGTTTGTAATTTAAGTGAAAACTTGAGTTAGTGTTAAGAAATCGGAGCCAGAGCGGCTCGGAAAATGATACTTATAAACCTCTTTGGAATAGGCTCTTTTATACAGCCTCTGACAAGTGCCTGTCAACAAATCCAATCTTGTCCTTTTTTGTTAAAGCCGATACAAAATATTTATTTTATTAGTTTTCTGTCTCATTTGACAACTATGTGAGGGGCGAAAATCCAGGAAACGCATGGTAAATATGCCGACCTCTCCTGGAAATATCTGGCTTGCATCCCACGTACACTGTTGTCAAACTCCCCATTGTCTTGGCATCAATTTGTTTAATCTCACTATTGTTGATATCAATAGTTTTAACATTACATTTGGTTCTAGTATAATTTAATAGGGATCGCTTTGGGGGTTTTTCAGACAATATCTTGAGATAGAGGACGAAGTTAAGTTTTTCAGACCGTATCTTGACAATAGAGGACGAGGTTAAGTGATCAAGTTGATTAAATTTCAATGATGAATTTGGAGATCTTTTGTTTGTTCTGAGTAATAAAACAGCAGGAGGACAACGGAGAGCAACAGTTTACGAAGAAGGTATTTTTTTACGAGGGCTCGTTTTACCGAAACAGTGCTGCCAACAATGACCGTATCATTTGGGGTACAAAACTGTGTCACGGACGAGCAGACAAAGTGACTTACATAATGTAATTCATCGAAGCATAGTTCAACTATATGACTCCCCTTTAAAGTAACGTTTAGTAGCAAACTTTCAAATTACCTTACCATGAAAAATTAATCTGCGATATTGCGCGCTCACTGTGGTCTTGCATAAGGGTAATTACTCTCGTATGTAGACAGTGAGACGTGACGGGAGCTCCTCTGTAACTCAGGCCTACCGTATGCTATGGTTACAGTTTAACTATTTAGGTGAGGCACAAATAAAGTTCGATTTGAATTTCAAATGAATACCTTTGATGAAAACTTACAGCAGATACCAATCTTACACGTTGACGAGGGACAGGCCTTGCATGTAATTTGCAAGTTTGATTATCGAATCCCCACCGATCTAAGCAATTTGTTTATGGGGTAGGTTGTGACTTAACTTTACTCTTTTTAAATAATCATATCTCAATGGTTTTTCTGCTACAATCTAAACAAGGTAAGTTACCAAGACGTTCCAGGCATATTGTTCGTCTGATATCGTTCAATAACCATCACATAGCCAAACAACTTATTTTCATATTTACATAGATGCGTAAAGATTCAGAGCAACAAATATAGACAGACAGATTATTTATTTGAGTCTCACCTCACTTGTGAAGTGAGGTGAAATTGGGTTTAACGTCGTGCTTGAGAATATTTCGCTCATATGACGACGTGCATGCGTGTGTATGTGTATATGCGGCTGCTTGTACTAGCCCAGACTTAAGCTGGTTTTATAGTGCTAGCCCACTGAGATACCAGTGAAGCAGGAATACCCCACTCAGACACATTATACTGACTCCGAGCCGACCAGTCCTTGTTGTACCCATTAATGCCGAGCGCCAGGCAGGACCAACAAGTACCATATTTTAACAACTTTTG